TATGAAGACGCATTTGTGGCCTTGTGGGGAAGGGAGAAGAGGTTTATATAGAGCCTGGAAGATATGCTGTTTGCAAACAATTTGTATGTCATGAAAAGATCATTGATCCGGTTCAAGAAAACTGAGCCTTTTTTAACTTTTACTTGCTTTTCTTGTTATCATAACCTTTGAATTGGCGTCACATAAAAGATATTTGTGAGGGCAAATGTTATGTAACCTTCCATTTCTTTAAAAAAAAATAATAATAATGATAATAAAAAAATAAAATCTTTCACCTCTCCACGCAGTCATTCTGGTGCAAGCCAAACAGTGGTTGGAAGTTTGCTTTAATTATTGTTGGCAGTTCATCGTCGATATATGCGCATTCATCATAGTCATCAAATATGGACATTTGCAGGGGCAAGAAATGGCTACCCATATAAGCCAAAGGCAACGAGAGAACCGAAGACATTAAGAAGAGAGATTTGAAAATCTATAATTCTTTGTTTTATTGCCAGCCAAAAGTAGTTTAGCCATTCACTTTGTGGCTTTGAAGATGTGGTTTTTGGGGAGGGGAGAATATTTATATATATTGAGCCTCCATCGAGAGAGGATTTAATTAAAATAGTGTATCATGCATTGTGAATAAAATACCATTTGGGTTTCATTGTCATGATCTTGAAATGACTGCCCTACTTTTTCACTTTTCTTGTTGTACAGTTTAACTACTTTCAATCAAAAAAGGAAAAAAAGAGAGAAAGAAAGAAACTGTCCAACTAACACCAAGCAACTTTTTCCTTTTTTTTTTTCACGAATCTATGAACTATCTTCTGTCTAGTTTTATGAGATCCGGAACATAAGATTTAGAAATGGCCAACTTTGTATTGGCTGAGTAAATAACTTAATAGTACAGTATACATAACAATTTTCAATATTTGTAATACATAACAGTAGTCATGAATTCTTATATATAATTTAGCGTCAAGTTTTTTCGACTAAATATAGTTTTTGACCATAAAGTTTTTTCTAGTAAATATAGTTTTCGCCTATATATACTAGATATTAAGTTAAAAATTAAACTCTTTTCAATTATAAATTATGTTATAATTGAAGCAAAAATTTTGCACATATATAAATCTAGCATTTGATGTAGCGTGATGCAGATGACATATCTTCCTTTTTCTAAATAAGAAAAAATGAATACTATTTTGGGAAGATAAAAAATAGATATACCATGCTAACAACATGAGTTATTACCAAAAGGAAAAAAAAAAAAAAAAAAAAAAAGCTATATCTCTATCTCTACCATGATCCGTCATAAAAGAAATATGGAATATTAATGTATCCTACAATATATATTTATAGTAATACTCTTGTCTTCCTCTGGTAGCCTAATCGGCATATGGGTAGGTTTTTAGTGTTCCTTTAATGAACTTCCACAAATAATTAAAGCAAACTTCCCTACGGTTTCATTGAATTCTCCAATGGTTTCTCTCTTTTTTGCCCATCTCATAGATGCAATTTCTCTAATATGAGTTCTCATCTTTTTCTTTCCTATTTTTTCTTATTAACCTTTTTGTCATTATTCTTTGTCAACGTACCAGCTATCAATGAAACAAACCTCTTGGAAGTTTGCTTTAATTATTGTTGGAAGTTCATTGATGTTACTATATACTACTTCTAGCGTTATATTTTTTTGGGAACTTTCGTTTTAATTTTTATTCTGAAATATATATTTTTTTATTTCGCATTCTTATAATTGAATAGTCTGATTCTGAAGAATAAAAAAGTTCAATTAAATATATCTATGTTTGTATATTAGAGAAAGTTAATAATATATATATATATATATATATATTTGTATATGTACATGTACATGTACATGTGTATGTATTTATGTGCATTCTTATATTTCGATAGTCTGATTCCCAAAAAAATATAGAAAAGTTCGATAAATTATATATGCATTAGAGAAAGTTACTATTTTATGTGTACTTTTATCTTTATTAATATTTATTTTCATATTCTGCAATCTCTAGATTTGATAGACAGAAATTGCCTCTTCAATCTTTAAATTAATGCACATGAAAGCTTTTTATAATTTTGCTTCTTCGTCCATCAATCGCCAATATATACAAGAGGCCCGTTACTGTTGGCCCTGCATGGCCAGAACCTCAAGACTGGGCTGGGATAGCACTCAGAAGTTGCCGGAGCTAAACAAATATTTGGTATGTAACGACCTGTACTCCCACCTGGTATGATATTGTCCACTTTGGATATGAGCCTTCACGGTTTTACTTTTAAGCTTCACCCTAAAAAGTCTCACATCATTGAGAGGTGGTGTCATTCCTTATAAATCATGACCTATCTTCATCTTCAAGCGATGTGAGACTGCACAACTTACCATTTCTTGGCCTTGTGCCTCAAGGGATTGATGGTTGTCACAATCACCCCTCCTTATGGGGGCCCAACGTCCTCGTTGGCCACATTTCTGGCTGGATAGAGGCTCTGATACCATATGTAACGACCCGCACCCCCACCTGATATGATATTGTCCGCTTTGGGCTTGAGCTCGCACAGTTTTACTTTTGGACTTCACCCCAAAAGGCCTCATACCATTAGGAGACGGTGTCATTCCTTATGAATCAGGATCTATCTTTATCCTCATGTGATGTGAAACTATACAACTTACCTTTACTTAGTCTTGTGCCTTAAGGGATTAATAGCTGTCACATAGTCCTACCAGAATGGCGTAGAAATTCTCAGTATGATGCCCTTTTGGCTGCATGTACAATCAACCTAGTCATGTTTTGCTGTGAAATAGAGGGACCAAAATCGCTACTCTCGTAGTTTGGCTAGTCATGTTGGGCTACTCGAGCTTGCTACAACTGTTAAGAAAAAAACTAAGGAAAGAATCTTCAAGGATGTAAACAAACACGTGGTTAAATTGTTTGGACAAATACAAAATTTGAGTCCTTGTATGCCATTTGAATCCCCTGTTAAAACTGAGTTTGGGCTTTTTGTTTCTCACAGCTATCAAATGGTGTTGTAAATGGTTTCAATGCCACTCAGCCACAAAATAAATAATAAAAATAATAAAAACTAATAAAAAATAAATAAAGGTTTCAATGCAACTATGTTAAATTCTTCAACCAGAGGCTGAATGGCCAGATCAAATAGAACCAACTTTTGGGAATTTATGCAAAAATATTTTATAAAACATAACAATAACATATTCTGATGAGACCCCACACGATCAACTCGTTCTTGGTATGAGATTATACTGGTTTCTAACAGATCAAGAAACGTTGAAGAAGAAAAACAAATTAAAACTCTCAAAATATATATACATATATATATATAAATATATATTTTAGTCATTAATTGAAGAAAATTTTTTTCCTTCTGCTATTAACTTATTGAAAGTAAAATAAAACCTTTGCGAGGAAAACTATAAAACTAAAAGCCAGACTAATGACGGTTTAAGAAAAAAAAAAAAAAAAAAACGGAAACTTGAATCTTACCTATTTGTTTTAAGATTTTTAAATTTAAATTCTAGTTATTCATTGCAAGATAAAATAGTTGACTGCTGATCATAAAATCTTCACAAGATAAGAGTTTCGGTACTTTTTAAAGAAAATTAAAATCTGAGCTCTGAAAATCTTATCTTTTTAACTTTTTTAATTAATCTTATAGAATTTAAAAAACTTATCTTGAATGACCTATATTTACTATTTTTTTTTAGTTATTGGCACAAATGGTCCCCAACCTATTTAGTAATTGACAGTTTGGTCCTTAATTTTTTTTCTTGGCAAATCGACCCCTAACTGTTTAAAACAAGTGCAATCTAGTCTTTTCCGTCAAGATCCGTCCAAAAGCCGACAAGGGAAGCCCTAACCACCCACGTGACTCAGATTGTTGGTGGAAAGATAAATTGCCCTCATACGACACTCTGATCGCTGGAAAAATGACAAAGTTGGCGGAGATCTAACTAGAGATGGTCGGAACTATTCCGGCAACCAATAATGGCAAACTTGGTATGGATTTGTTCAGCTCGACGAGAGGAGTCTAAAGACACCACTTACCAGAGAGTTGGACGTTGGACGACTCCGGAATCTGCATTGGAAGGTGTTGTGGCCAGAAATTTCAAACTGAAATTCCGGCCGATTCGCCGCCAATCGGCCGGTGAGGTGAGGGGGGTTTTGTAAATCATCTCATGGGCTCTCTGAGTCTCGTCTCAATTCATGGTGAATCATCACCTTTGTGGGTTTCTTCCATTGGAGTCCCAATTTGAAAAAGTTTGGGGACCAAACTTCAACCCTAAATTCTCTTTCTTCTACTGTGTAAACCACCCTCAAATCAACTAAGGATATGGTTTTACAAATATACCCCTAAGTTAAGGGGTCACGTGAGCTTCTCCTATTAATTTTTAGACGGAATTGCCATGCATGCATATTATAAACACGACATAGTCTTAGTTTATACATCAAAAAGTTGTTTATAGACTTTGCTCTTGTGAAGACGGAGTTTATCACTTTCAATGGAAGATCAGCTCCAAAGTCTTCATCTCATTTGTTAGGACATTTGTTCAGTTGTCAGTTTTGTTTCTTGTTATTTGGACTAGATTTGGAATGCTTTCTACTACCGAATACTTTTTGGTATATATATTTCTTAAATTGACGACGTGAGACAGGAACATGGCTAAAGAACATGAACGAGCATGTTGGAATATATAAATATATATATATATATGTATGTATAGTTATGTGAGTACGTGTGCAAACTGCAAAGGATGTTCAAAGATGATGATTTGTAGAAAAGAAAAGTAGATTTCTTTAACCGCAATTGATCTTTACATGATGTTGCATTAATTGTTTTAAAACCGCACATTACCGAGATCTATATAAATTACTGTTCTCGCCTCCAAAGAAACCACATCTTCTTATAATCTTATCTTGTGAACTGAAAAGTTGAATAGGCTTTGGCATTTGGCAACTAAAAAGCAACTAAGAAGAGTAGTAATGGATTTCCTAAGCTCTATTATGGCTTGCCTCGTTCTTTTGTCTCTGGCTTTGTTCTTGCCCGTGGCTTATGGGCAACAACTTGTTCCGGCACTGTTTATATTTGGCGACTCTGTCGTCGACGTAGGTAATAACAACAATCTTCGGACGCTTGTAAAAGCTAACTTTGCTCCTTATGGCAGAGACTTTGTAAATCACACTGCAACTGGAAGATTCTCAAATGGCAAGATTGCCATTGATTTTATAGGTAATTTACCCATAAAATCCACCATTCTAACAGTTATTTCTTTCCATATTTGTCATCTCATTGTGATCAGCAGGTTCTCTAATATTTTTCTGTGTTTTTTTTTTTTTTTTTTTTTAATTTTAATTTATTGACAATAGCTAAGAGGCTTCTGTTTACTTCCTACCAACCACCGTATCTCAACAAATCAAATGCGACCACAAGAAACCTCTTAATTGGAGCAAACTTTGCGTCGGCTGCTTCCGGCTATTACGAAGAAACGGCTAACATTTTCGTAAACACAAATTCCAAAAAGAACTTTCGAATACTTCTTGTTCGAGTGAGAATACATATAAAAGTTACATATGAATGCTTGTTTTAAATAATTGCAGCTTGCTATTCCACTCTCAAAGCAGCTCGAACATTATAAGGAGTACCAAGAAGAGGTGGTTGAGCTAGTAGGGGCTGAGAACGCTTCGTTAATTTTTTCTCGTGGCGTACACATATTAAGTACGGGAAATAGTGATTTCGTACAGAATTACTATATCAATCCTGTTCTTAATATTGCTTTGACCTCCGAACAATTTTCAAACGTTCTTGTGCAAAAATATGCACAATTCATTGAGGTGATTAATTTGTCTCTTAAAGCTCAAAGTCGTAACACCTGCATTGTTTAAGAAAGAAAAACACAAATAGAACTTGTAACTTTTGCAATGTGCTTGTAATAAGAGCTAATTATGTGGTTTTAACAATGTGTGATAGGAATTGTACGGACTAGGAGCAAGGAAGATAGGAGTGACAACGCTCCCACCGATTGGGTGCCTGCCGGCAGTTATTACACTGTTCGGCTTCGGACAAATAATTTGAGAATTTGAATGTTTTGTACATGTAATTGCCTAAAATATTATGAGAATTTGTTAATTGTGTTGAATGGACGGACCGTTAAATGAATTTTTTTAGCGTTCTAAATTTATGTCTATTTCACGATTAAACAGGGCAGCGTACATCATCTTTTTGTACACTCCCTTTATGAGTTGTATTTTCACTTAGTTCTTGACAGTTTTGCCACCTTGCATTTCAGGAATTTGTTGAAGAAGTAATGAGATTAGTGGAGCTTGATACTCTTAAGGCATGCTCCGGTTGGTTTACCTGGAAGTTCAGGGTTATCAACAGAACAAAGAAAGCGTTTAACCATTGCAGTGGAGCTTGTGGCAAATCCTTCGATTATTTTCATGGATGAACCTACATCTGGACTTGATGCGCGCGAGAGCAGCAGCCATTGTGATGAGGACCGTACGTAATACTGTTGACACGGGAAGAACCGTAGTTTGTACAATACATCAACCGAGTATTGAAATATTTGAGGCATTTGATGAGGTTGGCTGTCTTTTTTAGCAGTATATATGAACTAGATAGAGAACCATGTCGATTTTCTTTTTTAGCAGTATATATGAACTAGATAAAAAATAATAATAATAATAATAAAAATAAAATCTTTCACCTCTCCACGCAGTCATTCTGGTGCAAGCCAAACAGTGGTTGGAAGTTTGCTTTAATTATTGTTGGCAGTTCATCGTCGATATATGCGCATTCATCGTCATCAAATATGGACATTTGCAGGAGCAAGAAATGGCTTCCCATATAAGAAGAGAGCTTTGAAAATCTATAATTCTTTGTTTTATTGCCAGCCAAAAGCAGTTTAGCCATTCACTTTGTGGTTTTGAAGATGTGGTTTTTGGGGAGGGGAGAATATTTATATTTATTGAGCCTCCATGGAGAGAGGATTTAATTAAAATAGTGTATCATGCATTGTGAATAAAATACCATTTGGGTTTCATTGTCATGATCTTGAAATGACTGGCCTACTTTTTTACTTTTCTTGTTGTACAGTTTAACTACTTTCAATCAAAAAAAAAAAAAAAAAAAAAAAAAAAAGGGAAAAAAAAAAAAAAAAAAAAAAAGAAAGGGAAAAAAACAAAGAAAGAAAGAAAGAAAGAAACTGTCCAACTAACACCAAGCAACTTTTTCCTTTTTTTTTCACGAATCTATGAACTATCTTCTGTCTAGTTTTATGAGATCCGGAACATAAGATTTAGAAATGGCCAACTTTGCATTGACTGAGTAAATAACTTAATAGTACAGTATACATAAAAATTTTCAATATTTGTAATACATAACAGTAGTCATGAATTCTTATATATAATTTAGCGTCAAGTTTTTTAGACTAAATATAGTTTTTGACCATACAGTTTTTTCTAGTAAATATAGTTTTCGCCTATATATACTAGATATTAAGTTGAAAATTAAACTCTTTTCAATTATAAATTATGTTATAATTGAAGCAAAAATTTTGCACATATATAAATCTAGCATTTGATGTAGCGTGATGCAGATGGCATATTTACTTTTTTCTAAATAAGTAAAAATGAATACTATTTTGGTAAGAGAAAAAATAGATATACCATGCTAACAACATGAGTTATTACCAAAAGGAAAAAAAAAAAAAAAAAAAAAAAAAAAAAAAAAAAGAGTTATATCAAAAAAAAAAAAAAAAAAAAAAAAAAAAAAAAGAGTTATATCTCTATCTCTACCATGATCTGTCATGAGAAATATGAAATATTATTAATGTATCCTACAATATATATTTATAATAATACTCTTTTCTGCCATTCTTCTTAGTTTTGTCTTCCTCTGGTAGCCTAATTGGCATATGGGCAGGTTTGTAGTGTTCCTTTAATGAACTCCCACAAATAATTAAAGCAAACTTCCCTACGGTTTCATTGAATTCTCTAATGGTTCTCTCTTTTTTGCCCATCTCATATATGCAATCTCTCTAATATGAGTTCTCATCTTTTTCTCTCCTTCGTCCATCAGTCGACAATACATACAAGAGACCCGTTACTGTTGGCCCTGCATGGCCAGAACCTCAAGACCGGGTTGGGCCAAGATTCTGAGTCTAGAAGATAATGCGGGCAGGCCTGGCCAAGCCCAAAAACCATTTATTCAAAAAAAATTAAGGGAGAAAGAAGGAAATAGGTCAAGGAGATAAATTAAAATTAATAGGTCAATAGTTTACATAAGTTAATAAATAGATCAAATTACTATTTTTATCCATAACTTGTCTGGTTATGAACCATAACTTGACAAGTTATTGTCCATAATTGTCCATAACTTGTCTGACTATGAACCATAACTTGACAAGTTTGTCCATAACTTATCTGGTTATGAACCATAACTTGACAAGTTATGGCCTATTAATTTCTATAACTAAAAATTAGCTTATATACTTTTTTAAGCTTTTCATATTGGCATATTTTCTACTATTTCCCAAAAATTAAATAGGAAAACTTTTAGAAGAAGTAACACTTTCATTTCTACATTATTTTAAAATTTATCTTATACAACTAATAACCTGCAGATTATCTTTCGTAACTTAAAAATAACGTGTGTAACATAACCTGCAAGTTACTCAAAGTTTATCTTTCATAACCTACATATTAATTTTTGTAATGGCATCAACATTTTATATACTAGCATAAATAATAAAGTTAGAAAAAATAATAACTAAATTTAAAATTTTCTCAATTGAATACCTTATAAAATTTAGAGTCGGCACCAACCCTAGGCTCAAGGCCCATTCACCTCTATAGTTATAATCATCAAAATCGATAGGCCCATTTTTTTTTTAAATTTTAATTTGAACTTGAAGGATCATAATTCATACACATTGCGTCTGAAAAAAAAAAAGGTTCAAAAAATTAAGAAACGTTTAAAAAGAATAGTTGATTATAGTTATAATCATCAAAATCTATAGTTTTCACTTGTTGATTAAATGGATAGTTGCTGCTTGTTAATTAATTTAGCACTAGTTTTTTCTGAACTTCATGTCATTTGATACTTTCATTTTTTTAAATTGTTCGTTTGATCCTCTTTTCTGCTTGGGCTCACACGTAGAGGGTGTCATAGAAGCTAGAACAGCACAAAGGACACTTCATCAAGGCACTCCATGAACCAACCCTTTATTTTTATTGTATATTGATACTATTTATAAACACGTTATACAATGAAAATAACATTGGTGCCCTTAAAATTTGGCTGCTTATTCAAATGCTAGACATTTAAGCAATCTCTTATCTCACAAGCACAAATATTGAAAAATGAGTATATGATTTTGATCCACTATAATTCTCAATATAAACTTTAGGTCTGTTGGATTATCATCAATAAATATGAGTAATACATTTGGCCTACTAACTCAACGAAAATCTAACTACTCATGGGCAAGTGTTTTTTTTTTTTTTTTTTTTTTAAGAATTGAACAGGAGAAAAATGTTTAAAACAATTATCATGCAAATAATAAACACGACATAGTCTAAGTTCATACATCTAAGAGTTGTTTATCAGGGACTTCGATAGTAACATATATTATCGTTGTGGAGATTACGTTGGAAAATTAGGAGTAACATATATCCCTTCTTTTCTAGATGGATACATGGTTTTTTTTTTTTTTTTTTAAAAAAATTTCAAAATTTTTACAGAATACTACTGATTTAGGTGGGGCTCATGATTTCAAGTTCGGCCTAGCTGGCTACATCAGCGAGTTGCTGAAAGAATTTTGTGTTTTTTTTTTTTTCCAGATTTGCATTGTGCTAGTTGGAACGATCACTACCGAATTTGTATTGCTTACTATCAGTATCTCACCAGGTTACTCTGGTGATCCGTAGCAACTAATTAATTAAGTTATTATTCGTAGTCTACCAATTGGAACTGAACGTCCATTATTTGACAAATATTATAACAATGGCTATAGTTCACCGACAAATTATTGCGAATAACACTTTTGAAAAAACGACCACGTGAGGAGCAAGCTAGAGAACATGAAATGAGCACGTTTGTATTAGCTGGAAATTAAAAAAAAAAAAGAAAGAAAAGAAATCAGAATTCTCTACATTGAAGCGAGTGATCATGAGGAACAAAATGGTAGTTTACCAATCTATTCTAAAAGCAACAATAATTTTATACTTTAACATTTTCCTTCACGTGTCGGCTGGACAATCGGCAATAAATTAATTGAAAACCCTAACACGTGAATATTTAAGCCTGAGGTATATTAAAGACCCAACACATGATGATAAATGGGAATAGAGAGTGCAATTACGGGAGTTTGAACTCAGGACCTCCCGTTCTGATACCATGTTAGTTTACCAATCCATCCTAAAAGCTTAAGCTATGGACCAACAATAATTTTATATTTCAACACAAAACAAGTGATGCATCTGAAATATGGACACCAAGATCTGGAACTTAGCCATGGAAAGCGACCATTAATTCATGTCCACATTGCTCTGTATCTTTTTCTATTGAGTTCTTTGTTATTTTTATTATTTATTTTAATGATATTCGAGTAGGGACTAGCGAATGCTGGTTTTCTAAAAAGGTGCAAATCTAGTTGAGATGTTCTTAGGCCCCGTTCATTTCACCGATTCGAATTTAGAATTCGAGTTTTGCTACAATAAAAAGCTCTTAAAATCAATCACATCTAACTTTTTTGCTACAGTAAAAAACTCTCACATAAAATCACATCTTAACTCGAATTAAAAACTCGAATCAGCGAACTGAACTTAGTAAACTTGATGCTAGTTCTCCTAACTCTGGCATTATTCCAAAAAAAAAAAAAAAAAAAAAATTCATGTCTACACTGTCGACAAATATGATACATTTAGCTGTAACTTATTTTTTTCACTAAGAGCTAGAAATTTTATAGCCAAAAAACGAATTTTTCGCTAAAAGAATGATTTTTTTAGATAGTCAAAATTTATACTTTTCACTACTAGAATGGTATTTTTCGTAGTTAAATTACCCTTTTCTATTTTTTAAAAAATTGCATTAAATATAATATTTCAGATATTCAAATTGTACATTTGTTATAGGAAATCTCATTATTCACCATTGTTACAACATGCAATAGTTTTTTTTATTTTTATTTTTTTAACAAATTGCAAATTAACACTATCCACCATCAATCTAATTCTAACAACTTTCATGCATATGCAATGTGTTTTGCATCACCAAAAGTATACGTATATGAATTACTACAAAGTGAATCCAGTACTTTGTTCTTCATTTGTGATATGCCCCGCAAAGAGACTAGTAAAACATCTCAAATTAGTGTCCTTTAAGCTCACATGCTAGAAATAGGCAAGTATAGTTAAGTACTGATAAAATGAAATTACATGAACTGCTTGAAGATTAAAAAAAAAAATTAGAGAATCTCAAACAATTTAATTTAGTTAAAACTACAAGTTCTTATAGTCGTGAAGTTTGCAATTTTTTCCATGTATTTTCCCTTTTTTTTTATTAATTGATGCTGTTCAACTACGTATATTTATTACCTTATATTAATTCCATTAAGTCTACAATTCAGTACTTATAATGGCAGAATAAAAAGAGGAATTAATTTTATGACGGTTAATTAATTTAATAGGGGATCACATTAATAAAGAATCTTGTGGGAAAATTTAACCTTCCATTTAGGATCATAATCATTTTAGTTGAACTGTACTAATCCAATGCTACTGAGCAAATACTTTTAATAACGGCAGTTCAAAGATGATGATAACAAGAAAAGTAAACCAAGTAATTAAGCAGTCATAATTCTTGAACCCAAATGCTCTTTTCAAGAAGCTACATTTCTTTTTGCAATGCCTATATAAACAAATTCTCTAACTCCACACAAACCACAATATCTTCATTTCTAGCAAGTGAACACATAAAAAAAACAAGTTTTGTCAGCTAAAAGAAATTGCTGCAGAGAATTATGGACATTCTAAGCTCTTTTTTGGCTTCTTTTTTCGTTCTGTATTCTTTGGTTATCTCTTTGCCTTTAACTTATGGGCAGCTTGTTCCGGCAATGTTTATATTTGGGGACTCAGTCGTGGATGTTGGTAACAACAACCAGCTTGCCACCATTATCAAAGCAAACTTCCCTCCGTACGGAAGAGACTTTTTCAACCATAGACCAACTGGGAGGTTCACTAATGGCAAGCTTGCTACTGATTTCGTTGGTAAGTTTGCCTCAAAATATCCATAATCTTATATTCTTTTCTTCTTCTAATCTTAGGGTAATTTTGTCTTTTCCTGCAATTTATTTTATTTTATTTTTCTTACAGCTGAAGCCCTTAGCTTTACTTCCTACCAACCGGCTTATCTGAGTAGACAAGCTAGAGGGAGAAACCTCCTCATCGGAGCTAATTTCGCATCAGCTTCTTCTGGTTATCTTGATGCGACGGCGAATTTATATGTAAATACAATTACCATAGAAACTTTTAGATAATTACATGAAAGAAATTTCTGTAATATATAATGTATCGCGCTAACTTGATTTTGTGATGCAAATTTAATGAAAAAACCTTGTGTTTTTTTTTTTTTTCCTTCGTATGATCTCAAATTTTAATTTTAAATTGGTTTTTGTAGCATACAGTTCCTTTGAGCAGGCAGCTGAATAATTATAAAGAGTACCAAGGAAGAGTGGTGGGAATCTTGGGGGCAGCCAACGCTACATCATTATTTTCTAGTGGAATTTATCTTATTAGCGCCGGAAGCAGTGACTTTGTGCAGAACTATTATGTTAATCCTTTGCTTCACAACACTTATACACCTGAGCAGTTCACCAATATTCTCATGCAAAACTATGAAAAATTCATTGAGGTCTCTCTTAAAGTCTCAACAAAATATGCAATTTCTTTCAATATTCAAAATAAGGTTGAAATTAATATAGGTCCATTACTTTTCTAATGTTAATACGAAAATTAAATTTATAATTGTGATCACTAAAAAAAAAGTCATTTTTCATTCAAATAGTGGGTTATGATATATATAGTGTTTTCTTGAACGTGTTAAATTAAGGTTAGTTGAATTCAATCAAAATAAATAGAAGGAAAAGTGGTATTTGGGACAATATATTAACTAAGATTTGTGATTTTTGTGTTGTCCAAGAAATCTAACAAAGTGGGATTTCTATTGTGTGATAATAATGAATGAATATAGGATTTGTATGGTTTGGGAGCAAGGAGAATTGGGGTGACGGCACTTCCTCCAATTGGGTGCTTACCAGCGGCCATTACTTTATTTGGGTCTGGAAACGATGAATGTGTAACGAGGCTGAATCATGATGCTGTTTCTTTCAACACAAAACTCAACTCCACTTCTCAAAGATTGCAAAATAGACTCTCTGACTTGAAATTGGTTGTTTTGGACATTTATCAACCTCTCTATGATATTGTCACTAACCCTACTCAACACGGTACGTCATTTAGAGGTTTTCCATATATTTTTTTTAAAAAAAAAGACAAATACTCCTAAGCAAACATTTTCTGCATTAAAGTTTTGGAAGTCAACACTTTTGGGCTTTTTTTTTTTTTTTTTTTTTTTTTTTTTACATACATGCTATTATGCTAACCCATGCATTTGAGGAATATTTAGGAAAGATGCGCACTAGGATGTGTTTTCCATTGAAATTTAGATTAAGTTTAAAAAAAAAAAAAAAAAAAAAAAAAAAAAAAAAAAAAAAAACTAAAGTGGTTAGTTCTTGTACAGACAGCTCAATTGTCAAAGAGTAATATTACTAGTAAAATGTTTCTCTAATTTTATAAATTTAACAGTTTCACAAAATAAAGTAATAATAATAATAATAATAAAATAGCTATTATATGTATATTTGTAATTTGAGAGCACAATAGTAAAGAAACATTTCGGATGCATCATCTTTTTCTATCTTTGTTCTTTTTTAATTGGCGGAGTTAGAATGGATGACCTTAATATTGGAATGCATGTGACTTTGTTCACGTGATATCACGTGCCGCCAATGTCCAATATGAATAATCAGTGAGCCTCTTGATTAAGATATTTAGCAATTTTCCCCCTTTCTACATAATCTAATCGATTAACAATTAATTAATTACGTCTTATATTAATCACTACAGGTTTCTCTGAGGCAAGGAGAGGATGTTGTGGGACCGGTTTGGTAGAAACCTCCATACTATGCAATCCCTTCTCAAGTCCGACTTGTACAAACGCCTCGGAATACGTTTTTTGGGATAGTTTTCATCCCTCCGAGGCTGCCAACCAAATTCTTTCTGATGGTTTGATCAACGCTGGCCTTGGCCTCATCTCCTAAAATAATATGTGCTAAAATGCGAAAAAAAAAAAAAAATGTTGTTCTTTTTCCCCCTTTTTTGTGTGTATGTATGATGTATTTGAATAAAGATATAGCAAGTTTGGTGCATGTTTGCTTAAGGACTTTCACCTAAATTCGGAAAAAAAAAAAACAAAACAAAAAAAACAAACTGTTTACTTAAGAAGTACGTGATTGCCTATTATTAACAATGAAATAACCTAATTAAAAATGGCCGATTATTTACAATATAGTAAGATCACACTTGCACACTGGTCGATAAATTATAAAGCCCTGCCTTTCAGCTCCTTAAAATCGCTTTTCTTTGAAGTCACAATATAAATAATTACCTAATTATTGGTCCCTAGTATTGTAAAATCCTCATAAACTCAAAGATACAAACATGAAATGCATGTGCCAACCATTTTGTTTCTTTCTTTTTTGGTTCTGTTTTTTTATTGAATATGTATTGATTTTTATGGACTTTAATTCATCACTAGATGGTTTATCACTGATTAACCAATTTATTGGAGTGACCAAAATTGATTAACTGCTACTAAAAAACAGTCACTTCTCCAAAAAAAAAAAAAAAAAAAAAAAAAAGAAGATTAAATTTTAAAAAATGTGGAAAAGATAACGGTCATTTGCCTAATTTTCCCATGGAAAAATTAGGGCGACATTCTTGTCGTCACATTGCCAAAACTGTGAGAACGTTCAGCAATTATCAGAACACAATCCTGATACTAACAAAAGAAGATAGCCGTAACTATATATGCATTTTATTAGGCAATAAATTGTTAAATGTCCATTCCATCAAATTTGAAAACATATAAGAAACGTATAAATACTATATTCTACAATTTTACCCACTTAGGCCCATGAAAAAACCAATACATCGCTAGTTTACATGCGAAGAAAATCTCCCACAAAAAATCCAAAAAAAAAAAAAACTGAATCCAGCTAATCTTTTAACTGCTTGGCCAAAAATTCCAGAGGGACGTATCCTTTCTATTCCAGTTTGCAATTGCTGCATTATGTATATTTGACCCTCTACTAAAGGGATTCTGGACATTTTCTTTGTCTGCAAATTTAAGGAGTGGGAAATTACATGATTATTCTCATCACAACCACTTCTTAATTCTTCTGTAGACTATTTGAGATGTCATGATTTTATATTAAAATTTTTTATTGTAATTAAAAAATTAAATGTGACTATTTCTAAAAATTTTGTACTATAATAAAACTTAAATTTTAAATTCGAATCAGTAAAATGAACGGCAGTAATCTTTGAGAAGTCATGATTATAGTAGACCCACCATCTTAGCCTCGCGCCGACCGGACCACCACTGCAACCCACAGCCACCACCCTTCCACAGATCGCGTACTGGCCATCCCCGATCAGAGATTCGAAGTCGTGCAAAACTCATGATCTCGTCTGTTCTCCGAAATGCCGTGCATCCAATGCCGTGTCAACCTTGCAACGTCGTTGCATCCTTCCAGCGAAGCCACCGCCTCTGCCACCCAGCCCGTTGACCACCGCGGCGTGCGTTTGTTGCAAAGCCCAACCTCTTTGCTCAGATCTGGTTTGTGCTTAGAATCAGAGCAATAGAGAGAGATTAAGGCAGACATCCAGATCTGATTTCTCTTTATCTTTTTTTTTAATTCAATGTTTAATGATTTTTTTTTTTTTTTTTTTTGAGAATATGTTTAATGGTTTGTTGACCATACTTAGTCGTATAGATCTAATTGCTCAGTCTGATATGTATTTTATGTTTTTCTAATTTTTGTTTTCTTTGTTTGTAATTAGTCTTTAAATTTTATTTGATTTGTGTGATTTTATATTAAGATTAATAGGTTTTTTTGCTTATTAATTAAGGTTTATATTTTAAAACATTTTTTCTACACTTTTAATGCCATGTTTATAGACAGAATTATATATTTTTGATAATTTAATATATTTTTTATACATTAAAAGATGTTTTGAATTGTTTTAAAAAATTAGATGCATTTCAAAATAAGATACGGAAATATATATAAAAATAATCTAAGTGGACGTTTAGTTTATAGCTTCAGAATTATTCTCAATTAATGTGTATTTTTTATTAAAAAATATATTATAATAAATTATAAATTATAATTCAAATCAAGACACGAATTCACTAAGGCCTCGTTCGTTTCGCTGATTCGAGTTTAGAATTCGAGTTTTGCTACAGTAAAAAGCTCTCACAAACAATCACATCTAACTTTTTTGCTACAGTAAAAAGCTCTCACATACAATCACATCTCAACTCAAATTCTAAACTCGATAAATCAAGACACGAATTCACTAAGTAGCCATAAATTTTTGTACAATAAATTGTACAATCCACGTGGGGACTGGGGAACAAAGATTCCCAAATAATTTCAAGCTTTGAGGTTTGAATGAAAAACCAAATTTTTTGGGCCCAATGCTCTTTTGATATTAAGCATGCCCATTCCTTCAGTACGACCTACAATATCAATTGAGAATAATGTGCTTTGTCCACATCGCCAAAAAAATTGTGCCAAGAAACGACGTGACGCGCTGTAGATGTTTTTAACATTGGATCCTGACAAAGTACTATTTAATCCGGGCCGCATTTATCATGTCACTACACAGTGAGATTTTCTTTAATTATTTACCATGTCACTACACAATTTTGTTCAATTTCTCTCTCCATAGGTCACACCGATTTAAGTACCAATTGTTCAATTTCTCTGCTCCATACGTCACACCGATCGCCCAATTATATGTCATGTTTATCCGAGATATTAATATTTATATTTACTATTCTAAATATATTTAGTTAAAAATTTATTATAAGTTAGATTTCTAACATTAATATCACTTTTGTTTATTCCATAGTTGTTTTATGAATATTTGGTTATTTTATTATATTAATAAGTTGTTAGTTTGACTTGAATGTTACGTTTTACATTTTTAATAAATGTATTAATAGACGCTGAATGGTTGGATTTCAGAGATGTATTGGATATTCATATAAGCATCATATTGCTTCATAAGGTGTTATATATCTACAATTAATATAATTTTTTATTTCATCTATTTCTTCATAAATAATTTCTCCACATTTTCTTGTTTAAATAATGTCTTCTATAACTGCTCTTATTCTATCAGGTCCTTTCGTTAGGTATTTAAATAAATATTTTATAAGCATTGACTAAGAATAAATTTCTACATTAATATGAGCATTATATTTAAGACATAAATCTATATTATATGGAGCAACATATCTATTATCTAATTTAATGCCATCTTTTTCAACATAGAAATTTATATTTCTTCTTCTATAATTAACAAATCTATTTTCTTCGATACATGTTTCATTTTTTATTTGTTTCAGGATTTTTTAGAACATTCTAAATTTTTCATGCATTGAGCAGTTGGTTTAGCTACTCCACATGGTCCATGCATCATAAATTTAGCTACAACATTGTATTTTAATTTATTTTTTTCAGGGTCAGGAATTTTGGCGGAAATAAATTTATGAATTTTTGATTAGTCGTGTAATTTTTCATCAGTATGTAACCAAAATAGGAAATGACAGTGCGGCAAACCCCATTTTTGAAATTCTACTACATATAGATCTATAAAATTTAGATAAAAAATTTATTTTAGATATATTTAATATAAGCACTAAATAATATCATTTAATATTTATAGATAAAAGAAAATAAATCTAGAAAAAATGTACTAACCTGCTACAATTGTTCCAAAGATTTTTTATTTTTTATAGTGGATAAAAAATATTCTAATTTCATTTTAAAAATTCTTGTAATAATATCAGGTCTATCTGCAGGTTTAGAACTAGGTATTTTTATAAAAGCTCTAGTAATTTCAGGCCATTTTGGATTACATGTAAATATTGTAAACAAATCAGGATTTCCATAGTATGTACAAATTGTCATTGCATCATGATAGTTTTGAATCATATATCTAGGACTTCCAGTATGACTGGAAGGAAGAATAATTCTCTTGCCTATTGCCTGTGCATTTGTATCTCCTTTTGTAATAGCATCTCGAATTCCTTAATAAAATTCAGATCTCAAATTTTTTTGATTTTTTTCTAATATAATCAAGTATATCTTCTTCTACACAGCCATATGCATCAACTACATATTGTTGTAATAATCTTCCACTTCCAAATAGGATATCACTTTGATTTTGATGTTCTAGTAATTGATAACAATAAAATTCTCTCATAGAAATTCTTTTTCTTTTGCCTATGTTATTTGAATTATTTACATTATATTTTAAATCTGTTCTATAACCATCTTCTCCATAAGGAAATAATAATGGATATTGAAGAGACATATAAGATGGATGTAATTTTGTAATTCTTTGTAAAGAATTTGTTATATCTTCAATTATAATATCTCTTCCTTGTTTGTATTCACCAATATCTCCAACTATTAAACAACATATATCATTTGAAGTTGGTAATTCATATTGATTAATTTCATAGATGGTAATTTATCTTCTTCGTATCTATCTCTTATCATTTGAAAAATCTTTACTAATTTATTTGTATTATCTAACACTATAATTAGATGTTCTATTATCGATTTTATTATATTTTTTTATTCATTTTCAAATGAGAATGAAGCCATTCGGTTTTTAATTTCATTTTTCGTATCATATATATAGTGTTGTGCAAATCTAGGAGGATTATTATCAACTGGAAGAAGAGATCCTATCACGTGATGTATTTGTCCACTTATTTTAAGAATATAAGGACCAATAGAGTTTTTTGAAAAAATTTCTATATTACTCCCAAATGATGTAAATGCAAACATAGCATTATAAATTCTAATATTTTTTCAAAAATGTATACTTAATGCTACTCCATATTAATCTGGTAGATTATATAGTGTAGGAGGAGTATGTTTAATAGAAGGTATTCTAATTTTTCCTTCTCCATAAGAAAGATTGAATTTAGGAGGATTACTTTCTTTAATTCATT